TTGTTCTTGTTTTTTTTAAGTATAGTAAGGCCAGGGAGATGACTTAGCAGGCAGAGGCACCTGTGCCCGGGACTGGTGACTGGAGTTTAATTCCTGGATCCCACAAGGTGGCAGGAGAGAACCAATTCGCATGTCTTAGTATGCGCACCTGTGTTCGTTCTCTCTCTCTCTCTCTCTCTCTCTCTCTCTCTCTCTCTCTGCACCTGTGTTCGTTCTCTCTTTCTCTCTTTCTCTCTCTCTCTCTCTGTGTGTGTGTGTGTGTATGTGTTTCTCCCTCTTCCTCTCTCTCACACACAATTTTAAAATGTGGTTAATTAGGTCACTGTTCCCAGAATATGAAAAATTTGTATCATTTCATTTCAAAATCTTTTATTAGATTTAGATTTCCACTTCTTTTACACATCCTTTCTTTATTCTTGCTACTAAAACCCTGACAGACTATTCCTAATGAAAAGTCATCAGCAAGCCCACAGAGCATAACAAGCACTCACTGGAACACACACAGTAAAGCTTCAGCGGGTCACTTGACCGGGAACAAAGGGCATGCGTGGCTAATGTGAAGCAAAGATTGTGCCCCCAGACTGGCTCCCTTCTTGAAATTTTTGTTCCAGCCCTCACACAAGCACTGTCACAAGCCCCACTGGGAGTGCTTAGAGGAGACCAACCTGCTGGAGAGTCCCCCTTGATTGTCAGTCAGGGGCTTCCAGGGGTACTCTTCATGGTCCCCCTCCCCTCCCGCAGTGCAGTGGTAGAACACTGCCTAGACTTTGGGAGACAGTTGAACTTTGATGTAGAAAAAAAGCAGTGGTCCCTTGAAGTGAAGTGACAAGAGCCTCCAGGATCATGACATCCTCCTCATTTCAACAGATAACCAGATTCTCTGGTTCTGTACACAGGGCTTCTATTCTCTTCTAGCCCTAGGAATATCTTTTTGCTTTTTACTGTCATTTGTTTGTAAATAGTTCACAAACTTACCTCAGATAACTCATTTGCTTTCTCAACAACTATTCACTAAACATCCAATTCGAGTGCTGGGCTGTGACATCACTAATACATAGAACAGGAAAATTTCCTAAAGCCCAGTGGAATCAATAGTCTGGGAAGCATCATTAAGCAAAGAATTATACAGATACACAAAGCCATCATCGCAAGGGCTATAAAAATAAATGACATGACAGAGGAAAGGCTGAATTTCCTATTTCTGTATAAAATATTACAGCCTCGTTAGAAGTAATATAAGCAAAAGTACAGGGTGGGGAGAATATTGAGCTATTAATTAAAAGATTACATTTGGCCATCGAGATGGCTCAGAGGTAAAGGTGCTTGCTTTGAAGCCCAGCACATGGTAGGAGAATTGACTCCAGCATGTTGTCCACTGTCTTCTATATGCACATATGGCATATGTGTCATGCTTCACCACACACACACACACACACACACACACACACACACACACACTCTCTCTCTCTCTCAATAAATAAATAAATAAATAAATAAATAAATAAATAAATAAATGTGACATCCCAATCAACCTCTGAAAGCTGTTTGGCAAACTATACTGGGCGGCAGACATGGAGATCATTAATGCAAAAAATACTAGTCCTTCTAAGATCTGGGAGAGAAAAAAAGAAACAAGGCTGGTGAGTCTTACTTCACACTCTCATCTACAATTCTGGAGCCCTAGAAAGTTCATTGTAGGTATCCAGCAGGGTGGTATGGCCCCAACAGAGAAACTAAACTACGGCTCCTCTCAATAGCTTAGGCTGTTCACAAGTTGTACATTGTGGAACATCTACATCTACTAGCTTTAGATTTTAATCAGTTTATTGAATGTGAAAATCTAGAATGTACATTTATCAATTATCAGCAACTTATAGCATACAGTTACTTATTTCACCCCATTTTGCATACATAATTTTGAATTTCTGTTTACAAGTATACTCAAATTGAATGATTTCTTTAAAATGGGCAGAGGGGCAGGGATTGCAGCATTGTGAGATCTGCTGGCTATATATACTAAAACCTGGTTATCTTTAAAATGGCCTAATTCTACGGTGCCACTTAATGACCAGAGATTTTGCAAAACCCCTCCTAAGTGAAAAGAATGAAGAAAAGTCAAAGTGAGTTCCACAGGTAAGCAGCTTCAAGTTCAACATCTGAACCTTAACCAGAAGCAATTACTTTCAGCACAGGATTGCCTGACTGTCCTCTAACAGCTATCCAAATGCACTAGTTTTAATTATTTTCTGACATTTCCAAACAACCTTGTTTAAGGGTGTTGACATTATATATGAAACCAGGTGCAGTAGTATAAACCTGCAGTCCCAGCTACCAGATACTGTAGCAGGAAGATTCCTCAAGCCCAGCAGTTGGAAGAGAGTCTGAGCACCCTATTTATTTTACTGTGTGTGTCTATGTAACTGGGGGTGAGGGGTGTACGGGTGGAGGCTGGAAGCTAACTAGCAGAAGTCAATTCTACCATATGAATACTGGGGATGGAGCTCAGGTCATCAGGCTTGATGGACCACCTCATCTGCCTGCCACCTTTTTTTTTTTTGACAGTCTCACTGTAATCTAAACACTTCATTTCAGCTAGACTGGCTGAGCAGTGAGCTCCCAGGGTTTGCCTGTCTCAGTGTCCACTATGGATACTAGACAGAGCACTTTACCAACTGAGCGATCTCCTCCTCAGCCCCTCCTTTTCAGTGTTGTGGTCCCTCTACTCCTAACTCTATCCCCTAAATTTTCTTTCACATTTAGTTCTTAGTCAAATACCTAACAGAGGTATTTGCACAAAGTACCTTAATTACAATACCTAGCCTAGCTCCAGTCTTTCAAATATGCCCAACTCCAGTAGAAAACAGGAGCCAAATTTCTTATTAACAAGGCATTTAAAAACTGTGGTGTGGTGGCACGCACCTGCAATCCCAGCACTAGGGACGCTAAGGAGGGAAGATCATGAGATCAATGCCTGTCTGGGCTACATCTGAGATTGTTTCAACTTCTCTTCCCCAAATGGAGCAGGTCTCCTAAGAATGTAGCTCCATGGTAGAGCATTTCCCTAGCATGTTCAAGGCCGGAGGTTTAATCCCTGGCACACTGCCCAAATTGCCCTCCAAAAGGTACCAGTCATCAATCTTCACCCATATGAATATAATTATTAGGGTACTGTTTTACTAAGCCTGGCAGAACAAGCCTTTAAACACACAACCCATTGGTTGATTGTAGTGATATATTGTTTATGATCTAATAAAGCTTGCTTGGAGATCAGAATGCAAAGTTAGCTACAGCCATAGAAGCTGGGCAGTTGGAATGTAAAAAATAAATGGAAAAAAAAGAAACTGGGCAGTGGTGGCACACACCTTTAATCTCAGCCCTCAGGAGACAGAGGCAGATGGATTTCTGTGAGTTCAAGGCCACCCTGGGCTACATGAGAGTGAACTGGTCTAAAAGAGAAACAGAGCTCAGGCCTTTGACCCCAGCACTAGAGAGAATATAAGGAGCTCAGTGCAGTCTCAGGCAGCAGTCTGAAATTTGACGAGAAGCAGTGCAGTCTGAGGTTCAGTGGATTACCCCTTTGGTCTGAGCACTGGCAAATGTGGAGATCTCTGGTGGCTTGGCTGCTTTGCTTTTCTGATTTTCAGCCTGACTCCCAGTATCTGTCTCTGGGTTTTTATTATTTGTGCTACAGGCGATGTAAGGATTTTCATTGGGGAAGGATGTTAAAAGAGGGTTTCTGCTATGTCTCAGACCCAGCCTCCAGAGTACTGAGATTACAGGTGTGCACCACTCTACCCAGCATAGTGATGGCCTTTAAAAAAAAACTGCAAAAGGTTTTGCCTCTTTGCAATATACACCATAGATACAAGTGAGAGTCTAATTTGGAGATGATTGTACTTCGGGTGTCTAGAACACTGGTTCTATTTACTTCCTAACATTTGTATTTCTGAACAATGTTTACAGAATTCAAAATAATGAAGTTTTTACTATCTAGCACTTAACAGAAATATACTTTTTAGAAAGATGAGATTTTCTTTTTAAAAGTTTTATTACATTTATGTGCCAGGTATAGTAGTGTATGCCTTTAATCCCAGCACTTAGGAGGCAGAGGCAAGAGAATTTCTGTGAGTTAAAGGCCCAGCTTAACTATATAGTGAACTCCAGGACAGCCAAGACTAACTACATAGAGACCCCGCCTAAAAAAAAAAAAAAAAAAAAAAAAAAAAAAAAAAAAAAAAAAAGATTGAAAAAATATTAAATATGTGCACATCAATACATATGCCACAGTGTGAATGGGGATCAGTCACTTGTTACCTTCCACCATGCACTTTTCCTGGAAATAACTCACGTCATCAGGCTTGGCATCCATCGCCTTTACCCAGAATCATCTTACTGACCCACCCCATGGGCACCAATTTCTGACCCTTCATATTCAGAGCTTGAATTTTATGAAACACAAAGAACCCAAGTCCTGGAAGTATAGGTATGTTTTTCTCATTGCTGATAAAAGCAAACTGCTTATTTCACGGCAGTAACTGGAAGAGTTACACAATGAACAACAATAAGAAAAAGCCACTTACATAGTCTAGTCTTTATTGAAAGACTTACTTCAACTGTGGTTTACAGCTTTGGCTTTAGTTGGCCTCTCACTGCCGGCAGACATAAAGATCAGACGGACTGGCACCGAGGAAATGCTAGTAGAAAAGGATTCGAGCACAGACGATGGCAGGCAGAAACACACCAAGATAAATCTCAAGAAACTATGAAGAGACATTTCCTTGCATGCCAAAGAGTCTCTCCGCTGTTCTTAATGAACACAGGAAGGAAAAGGCAACAGTTCTTAGGCTAAGTGGACCGAGACGGCACAAACTCCAATCTGTGTAGTAAGACAGTCTGAACCTGTGTTAACTTGATCATTGTACTTTCTAAAATAGTGCATTTTGTTTGGACATGTCCCTTTCTATCTTAAAACTATTTGCTGTGAAATGACTGTGACTGACTTATTAAGAAACCTTTTTTTTTTTTTCCTCATCCAAATTAAGACATGTCAGTCACATGCTCACTATGGCAATGTAACTAGTCTGGATAATTTTATTAAATCACAGAATATATAACAGAAAAGACTACAGCTAGAGTTGGCCATTACTTATTTCAATAAGCCACAGTTTACTGGCAGAGGGGAAAAAAGAACGCAAACTGAAATTTTAATTTAATAAGCTCTTATCAATTCATCAACTTAGAAAATCTTTAGGATGTTTGAGTTTCATAAAGGTTAATGAAAATCTTAACTTGGGGCAGAATATAGCTTCTTGTTTTCTTCTTATAAAATATAAAGTACCTTTTCCAGAACATCCCCCAAAGGTAGGAGGACCAGAAGAAACCAGTCTATGTAGTCATAGACAAGTACAACACAGAGATGCTGTGGTTTAAAAAAACAAAAACAAAAAACCCCCCAAAAAACTGAGGTACATTAAGATTTTGGCTCAAAAATGAACTTCAGACCCTGTAAATTTTTATGCTGAATACATTTGGCTATATTTCTAAGTGAAGAAAGGAGGAAATAGAATTTTTGTGGTCATCAATATCTAAAACCACATTATCTTAATCTTTGACTTCGATGGCTGAGTGTGGAAACTAGCTATATTTTGCCTCCTGTACCACTGAACTGTTGGGGTTGTTTGCTCTTGTGCATACACAGGCCAACAGGTTGAATACACTCCCAGAACATTTGCACCCCCTAGCTGTCACAACTGAAACACACAGGATTCTATCTATGTCACATTCCCATTTTAAAGAAATATGAGGCAGACTGTATCCACATAGACTGAAAAAGGCCGTGGAAGCACAACTGGAACTCCTGCACCTTCCCAACGCATTGATTCATTTACAAACTGCACACATACAACTCAGGCCTGTTCAGGCTTGTCACCCACACACTCCCCACAAGAAAAAAGAACAAATTAGGAATAAAAGTAACAACTTTGTATAGACTTAAATTGAATATCCAATTATAAATTGGTACATCAAGCTGTCTAAAGATATTTTAGCAATCTTGTTAAAAAAATTCTTGGGCAAAATATATCTTATTTTTAAAAACATCCCAAGATTTTTAAAAAACATTTGTGCTATACAACTTATAGGAACCTTGAAATCATTTCACTAGGTTTTAATCAAGGTATTGTGTACCAAATACAGAAAAAAGAAAAAAGGAAAAAAAAAAGACCCCAAAACCCAAATCTAACTTCCATTTACAATTTAGAATATACTAATCCATCAAAAGATTTGTATGAAATTAAATTAAGGCTTCTTCTGTGTAGTCATTTGTGTCATTTTAATTTTACATGGCCAACTTTGAAAATGCCAGTCTTAAACATTGTTACTGAGCACTGCACTCACTGCAGTGAGGATGTATGTTACTTGTCACCTCGAATAATTACATTGCTGCTACTTCTATGTTGAAGCATGCTTTTGAAACACTGTAGTTATTCAATATTTACAATGTTTATCATTTAAACTCCATGTAAAAGCACAAGTATGACTGTCTGACTTTAATATAAACACCATACTTGGAATTTTCCCCCAAAATGAAATGTAATATACTACATTTTTGATAACCAACACTTTGAAGGTTTTAAAAATATGTATTAATGTGGACCACCAACATTCTCTCAAGGAACTCCTACGATGCTGTTCCTTATTTAGGTTGCAAGCTGTCAGTCTGGCTTCAGTTTCTTTAACAGAGAGAGAAATAAGTATTTCTTCCACAGCGATTCCCACATCATGTATTTCTTCTGAAATCACACTTTTCCTGCTAACTTCAATGCGGTCCACCTCAGGGGATGGGAGGGGAGTATCAGAATTCAGGATGGACTGATGCGATTCGCAGTTTTTCACGATACTCCCTTTTTTGCTCTTTTAAAAACACAGTGAGTTAAAATACTGAACAGCAAGATAAAAACGGAATAGTGTCTAAGAATCAAAACGTATTACCCATTTCTCCTATTATATCAAAATTTAGTCAGAATTGTCTTTATTGACTTTATTTTAGTTTTTGTACACAAAGAAAAATCATGTTCATATCCATCATGAACAAAAACTTAAAAAGGCAGAACTAGAAGACACGTGTCCTTCACCAAGCAAAGCTGTGCTAAAGGTTCCAACATTTCAATTTTTAAAATAAATATTTTCACTTTCCGATGTTTACTTTTCATGTCTTCAGAGTGTCACAGGAAACTGCAGCCTATGGTGAGTTACAATTGTGTTTAGAGTCCCAGCTCACTGTGTTGGGAAACTTGCCATTCCATACCCAGCTTGGTTTGGAGGAGGTATTACAGGAGGAGGAGCTTGTCCTTGAGGAGGCTGAGCACCAAATCCACCCATCCAAGCAGCAGAAGGTGATTGACTTGGAAGAAAGTGGGGGGAAAAATCTTCAGCAAACACAAGAAAAAGATAATCTACACAGCTATACAAAACCAAGCAGAGTCTAATGACAGAACACGAATCTACAACAAACTGAACACATACACCCATCATTAAATCTTACAGCTTTTCACTGGGTCTTATTTTCGTGCTGTGCTGGGGATTGCACCCAGGGCCTTGTTTATTCGATGCAGTGCCCTACAGTCCAGTCCAGCTTTGCTAAGATAATCACAGCTTACCTCAAGTCTGCAGACCACCTAAAAGCTGGTTTTTAAAAAATAATAAATGAAGACTGGCATGGTGGTGCACACCTTTAATTCCAGCACTTGGGAGGCAGAAGTAGGTGGATCTTTGTGAATTCAAGGCCAGCCTGGTCTATATAGATTACAGGCCAACCAGGCCCCATATTAAGACTGTCTGAAAAAACAAACATTCCAGGACAGACGAGGGCTACACAGAGACCCTGTCTCAAAATAAAAATATAATAATCACAATCCTAAGTGAGGTCGGTATAAGGCCTCCTGTCTTCATCCTAGTACCTTGAGGGTTGGGACAGGACTGTGAGTCAGTGAGATATAGGACACCCTGGGCTAGAACGAAACCCTGACTTATAAAAATAATGACTTAGGAGGCAGTACTCTTGTTACAGCTTTTGACTCTTGCAGTATTTGCAATAAACCTGTGAAAATAAGGGTCTAGCTCAGCCTAGGGGAAACACTGAAGCAATGACTCCAACTCTACCAACTCTATCACAACTCTATCAAATCTATCACAGAAGCAAACTGTACTATGTCATGTAAGTTCCCAAAATGTCTTATACAGGCCAAACAAAAACACCACATTTCTGAGCATATCTGGACAAAGACCCCTTTTATACATGTAAAATTAAAGTGCTACTATAAATGAGTCAAACTCTACCAATTGCTTACAGAGAGGTCAGACTGCAGTCCCATCTCTGTAATGAAAAGTATTACAAACTATATTTCCTGAAATTTGTTATGTAACATCTAGAACCCAAATACCTTAACACAACATCATTTCAGTAAACTCTCCCCTTGGAGAACACAGATTTCTCTTTCCCTAGAGGCTCATCTGTTTCTACAATGGAAAAACCAAAACAACTCACTCTACTCCAAATCCTTGCTGGTTCCATGGCTGCCCATATACACCATAGGGAGGCACTTGCCACCCATTTGCCATATACTGCCCATACTGTTGAGGGTTTCCATACACTTGGCTCCACTGGCCCCACTGACTGTAGTCAACCTAGGAGAAAGCAAATTACTGTTTTAGGTAACAAGAAAGAAACACCGTATTTGAAGAAAGAGTGGGAGACAAGGAAGAGAAAAACTAAGTAAGCACCCTTATGTGAATAGGACTCTGTTATTTATCATTGTCTAAGTTTATTGGGGTGGTGACACCTGTGAAAAGAAAGTATTAAGATTCAGTTAATACCGCAAAACAATTTTGAAATAGCATTTACACAATCAACTGAAAGCACCTATATGCTTTATTTTACTGTTTATTTTATAATTTCCAAAGCTCCTATGCAGATATGTAAGATGGAAACCTTAAAAAGTGCTAAGAAATATTGAATTACCTGTTGGAAGTTTTTAGTCATATCAGGAGATTCTTTACCCCAATAGCATTTAACCACATGTCCTTCGATTGTAGTACCATTCACAGAAACAATGGCATGGGCTGCACTTTCATGAGTTGAAAATCTAGGAGGAGAAAAACAGTGAGGTTTTGTCTTCACTCTTTAAGAACTTGAGCAAACAATATAGGAACTCATTGGTTGACTCCTTTCAGTTGGCATTTTTCTTAAGTTATATTATATAGGTAAACTGACAGCTAGTAAGGAGCCAATAATGTAAGTGAAGGGAATGAAGCAGATGTAAGAGTAATGACTGTATAACTGGAGCATTACCTGACAAACGAATAGCCCTTCTCTGGAAAAACTCTAATTTCCATAATTTGTCCAAATGGTGAAAATGTTTGTCTCATAAGCTGATCTATATAAAGAAAAATACACAAAGAAAGTATTTAAAGCTCATGCTAACCATGGAATTTATACTAATAATGCTGAAATACCAACAGAGAAGGCGACAGGAAAACACACTGTACCTGTTAGCCCAGAAGCAATTCCTCCGCAGTACACAGTGCAATTTTTTGGACTTGACTGGTTTACTACATCTTCAAATCTCAACTGCTTAGTGTTAGCTATATGAAGAAAATAGCAAAATTCAGACTGTTACACAGTATTATAAAACTACTTTTTGAGTGGACATTAAAGCTTAGGGGCAGAACATTTGCCTAGCGTGTGCAAGGTCCCATGTCCAATCCGCATAGCACACACGTACAATCTTTTGTTCTTATAGGCCATTTTTAAAATTTTATTTTTATTTTCTTGGGTTTTTGAGACAGGAAATCTCTATGTAGCCCTGGCTATCTTGGAACAATGTGGACTAGCCTAGCCTCTATCTCCGGAGTACTAGGATAAAAGGCATGTGCTCCCAGCTACATACTGTTAAAATATTTCCCAGTGGGAGGAACAACATTTTTTTCTGCATGCTATGACTTAATAGATTGGGGGTAGGGTCTCGAGTATCTCAGGACAGGTTTGAATTCACTGCAATGCTGAAAAGGACTTTGAACTTGTGTCTCTGCCTCTACTCCCCAGGTGATAAAATTACAGGGCATGAGTAGAGCTCTACACCTGGTTTATATGATGCTGGGGACCAAACTCAGGGCCTCATGCATGTTAGGCAAGCACAAGCACTCTACCAACTCAAGCTATAGCCTCAGCCTTAAATATAGATCTCATCTACAAATAAACCAGTTGGTTCTTAGCCTGAAAGATACTTATATCTGAAGTTCATATGAGATTCAAGGTAGAACTTACACTAATTTAAATATTAAGAAATTAATACATAATGTTACATGGGGTGATCACAATCTATACTTGCAACATATATGAAGATATAACTCACTTTCTTGTGTACTTTTAGGGGCAGGTGGTTTACGTGTGGCCCAATTGGTTCTGATTTGTCGACCTCCCAACCACTGACCCCCCATATGCACAATTGCATTTTCTGCATCCTATGGAGAAAAAACAACAACAACAACAACAACAAAAAAAACAATTAGAAACAAAGAAAAAGAAAAAACAAAAGATCCAGTAAGACAAAAGGAAAGCTGGAACTGCTGACTCCAGTACATCTCATCATCTTTGAGTCCACTAAGCACAAAGATGGTACCAACAAAACGACTTGAACCACAAAAGCTGCTTTTTACTTACAGGTTTCAAAACACTAATATAACATTTAAATTTAAGAACTATGTTTCACTAATATAAGGATAAAAAAGATAATCACATTCATTATCCCCAAAACTTTTTTCTCCAATACATATAAATGGATACAAAGAAAAATAGAACTCTCACAAGGTCATTAAGTGCCTTAAGTTTATGGTTGCTTTATAATGGAATATTTACTACAGAAAATGTAAAAAGAGGCTAACATACGTTCATAACTGTTGTAACCATTAATATTCGTTATGAAAATATAGTTGTGATGAAATGATTAAAATAGACATTCTCCTCGTTAAAACTGAACGTAATTCTCATACTGGTTCGAGTCCACTGGTCTCAGGTTTCACTTCTAGCTCACTCTGCCTGCCTTCACCAGTGTACAAAAGCATTTTAATAATTCCCTTCACTGTGTCATCACCCTAGCCTTTCCTAGGTATTTAAGTTAATGAAAGAATTATTTCCTATTATTCACATAAAAGTTCTATAGTTAATTAAAAGGACGTACCAGTTTGTTATAAAAAGATACAAAACCATAGCCTTTGGACTTTCCGGTTGCCATATCTTTAACTACCCGGGCATCCCTGTGAAAAGAAGCACAGCTAAATGAGGGAAGTAAAAGTCATCCTCAAAATAAAAACTAAAAGGAACCACACACACTGTATTGTGAGCATTTTAAAAATAAACTCCAGTTAGCCCTAATTAACTACAGCCATTCCTGAACTCTCCCTAATGCTTCTTTACCTGTTAGAAAAAAGCAGTAGGACAAAAACATGTAATAAACATGCAACCTAATCACATAACCTGTGCTTTCTAACTAGATACTCAAATCTGAAGATTAACAGGAACAACAGTTTCCTTTTCTAATATTCTATTTGCTAGTGTCCTCTAAGATTTACTGATTCTATTAAATTACTGCAACAATGCTAACTACTTTACCATGCAATATCTAAATAGTTAAATGTCTTCTGCCTAGTGATATAAAATATATGAAATATTAAAAAATTGAAAAAGAGGAAAAAATAGGAATTAAAAAGGCATACATGGCCTGTTAACAGATTTCTTTATTTTTCTTGGTCAATTCTCTATCATCATTTTGGAGTTTGGGCAGCTGTAAATTTTGAAAAATTGACATTTTCAGAAATTTAAGAAAGGAGAATAAAAAACTAACAACAACGCTAAGCACACCAGTACGAAAACAACAAATTTACACAGAAATTTTAGTGAGTAAGTTAAAATGATTGGAAATATAGAACTCCACTGAATATAGAATGTTAAAATGTAAATACTAAAATATGTATATATAAATAATGTATAATAAGAATAAATAGAAATGAGAAAAAAAATCTACAACTGAGTTCCAGTGTGCACAGTTCCTTGCAGTTAGCCTTCAAGATCCTGTCCATTCTTATGAGCAATTCTGCAAAATAACCAGAATGCTATTACTTTTAATTGTGACTTGGACTGTAGAAAAACTGCAGGTCTCAGGTATAAATAAAGAGCAAAAACAGCAACCTGTATCATTTTATACTAATTTTACAACAGTACTACTTACCACATTTAGATTAAAAAGCAAAGCAAATATCAAAACAGAAAATTAATAATTAAATCTTTCTTACAAATAAATTAAATCTATAGAACAACAAGTTATATAAAAGTTAATAGAAAAGTTGTTGTTCTTAATCAAACATTTCTGTAGTCATACATTTAATTTAAATTGACAAATGTAACAAATTCATTTTAACCAAAGATAAACTGACAGTTTATAAAACTTGCAACCACTTTTAATTTTCCAATATATTTAATCAAATAACAAAATTTGAGCATATATAATTAAAAATAAAAACCAACCCATTTGTCCCCTCCCTAGAAGAATCAAATATCACTAACAAAAATCAAATTAATCCATATTATTATCTAGACAAGAAAATATTTAATATTGCAATAGTATTACTTTTTCTCAAAGCTAAATATCAAAATACATTCATCATTTACATAATACATTTCCAATTTAACTATAATATACTCAATTTAACCATAATCTATGCCTAGATTCCCCCCACTTATAAACTCCAATAAAGGTTTAATATACAATATAATCACATTTAGTTTTTATTAACTTAATATTCTTAACCATTAAGATTTGAAAACATTTGACAAAAAGCTGAAAGTTTTACCATCTAAATATTTGCTTTAAATATAATCAACAAAACCACTTAAAAATTTTAAACATATTATACACAGGATTATCTGAAAACAAGACCCCAAACATCAAAATGACATCAACATTTGCAACAACATCTACTCAAAAAAAACAAAACAAAACAAAAGTAAAAACCAAAGAAAACACACTAAGTAGAGAAAGAAAACCTTGATTCTAATACAAGTTAATCATACAGTTTTGCCTATCACTACGGAGTCTAATACTGATTATGATACTTACGATATTTTACCAAAGGGGGCAAATGCTGATTTGATATCTTCTGTTGTAATTTCTGGACTCAAATCCCCAACAAACACATGGAAGTGATCTGAAATCAAAGCATTTAGTAATCAAATACTTAAGAAATCAGGCAACACTAAAGGAGGAAAAAACCTTAGGTAAGCTGGTAATGCTGCCAGGATAACTTCACGCTTCCACAGTAAAATGCAGCAGGAGTACTTACTGGAAGTATCTTTTTTCTGGCTACTTGGTGTTGTTGCCCAGTTTACTTTGACCTCCTAAAAACAAAGATTATATTTAATACAATTATTAGGCATGTCAGTCTGAGCTGTTAACACTTACCACTTAATCATTTATCAAGTTAGATTATTTGTGTAAAGGCACTGGGCTGAATAGAGACTGTCTTATTTTAAATCTTGCTAAGAGAAAATGATTTAACATGCAAACATATACAATTACGGGATGTCATCATCCCATTATCTTACCTTTCCCAAAATTTTTCTCCCATTCATAGCAGCTAATGCAGCAGCTGCATCTCTGTGTTCATAAAATTCCACAAAGCAATATGGATCATTGCTTGTATGCTGCAAAACAGAAAATCCAACAGAAGAGTTGACCCTTCTGCTATCGGGTTGCTGAGAAGAAAATCCAGGAAAAAACATTACTGACAGCTAGGAACGCACAAGGTGAGATTGTATAAGCTTATGAAAGCCTAACACTTAAGACTTAAGCTGAACCTCAAAATACTGATGTATTCAAGCAGAGCCACACAAACAGTAAAGAATCATGACTGAGTATTAAATTAAAATATACAAGTCTGGTGAAGTATGTTTAACAAGATACCTTTTACTAGCCCTAAACCTCTACCTCAGATATAGTGGGGACTGTTTCTTATCACTGCTCTTTTCTTCTTCTATTATTAGGTTTTGTTTTTGCAATACAGGGTCTCTCTATATCCCTGGTTGTCCTGCAACTCACTATGTAGTCCAGGCTGGACTTAACTCAGAGATCCGCCTGCCTTTGCCTCCCAAGTGCTGGGGGTTAAAAGTGTGCTCCACCACCACCACCAAGCTCCAACATTATTTTAAAAGGCTGATTTTTACTTATGTATTACAATCCTTCATATATGATTATTACAGGGTCATAAAGGGGAAAAAGTACAAAAATGCAGCTGGGCATGGTAGCACACACCTTTCTCTACTCCTAGCACTCGGGACGCAGAGGCAGGCAGATCTGTGACTTTGAGGCCAGCCTGTCTACATAGAGTTTCAGAACAGCCAGGGCTAGATAGAGAGACCCTGTCTCAAAAAAAAATAAACCAACAAAATATATAGAAATGAGTCAATTTTACCTCAAATTAAAACTAGGGCGGTGGCTACTACAATTTACAACATTTTGTATAGCTATACAGATTGGATATAATGTATTCCTTACCCAGAAGAGGAAAGAAAGAATAAAAATAGAGAAAAATTTAAGATTTGTAACTAGTTATTGCAAATCTCCATCTTCCAAAATAGACATGATAGGTAGGCATGATTACACACACCTGTAACTCTATCACATGGGAAGCAAAGGCAGGAGGATCAGATGACTGACTGTTCAAGGCCAGCATATGTACACACACATATGAAAGACAGCAGCTTTAAAATAAAAATTGCAAAACAGGCTCAATTTACCAGAGATTGAAGGTATTTTGAAAATGTCTTCCAATGTCCAGCAAATACACTAGGGATCTAGAATATAATTGCTGAAAATGTGTTTACATATTCTAGCATTGTGGTACAGCTCAGTGGGAAAGCATGTGTCAGGGCCTGGGTTTGCTACCCAGTAACTTAAAACCAAGTAACTAAATAAATATTAACTAAACCCAGGGCAAAGCTACAAGTTTACACCACAAAACACCAACATTAAAAACAAACAAAAAACCCCTTCATTAGTTGGCAAATACACAGCTAATAAGGTTGCTCAGAAATCAGAGCTACCTAAAATATGCACATATTTTTATAAAACTGAAACCTATATTGGCTAGCAGCTTAACTGTACAAACACTATTTACTATAAAATGTCCTAAGAGAATAACACATGGACTCTATGTGAACTTACTAGGAATAAAATTCCAGATAAAATGGAATGGGCGTTGGTGGCGCACGCCTTTAATCCCAGCACTCAGGAGGCAGAGGCAGGCAGAATTCTGAGTTCAAAGCCAGCCTGGTCTACAGAGCGAGTTCCAGAACAGCTTCAAGGCAATACAGAGAAACCCTGTCTCGAAAAACAAACAAACAAACAAAAAAGATCTTTACAACAACCACTGTTTTTCATCCCAGAAAATTTTTTATAGAAAAATCTTAAAATATGTAGCAACCAGCCTGGTGATAGTGGTCCACACCTTTAATCTCAGCACTCGGGAGGCAGAGGAAGGCGGATCTCTCTGAGTTTGAGGCCAGCCTGGTCTACAGAGTTAGTTCTAGAATAGCCAGGGCTACACAGAGAAACCCAGTCTTGAAAATCAAAACAAAACAAAAACAAAAGATGTAGCCCGGCTAAGAACAGGACTCTTTATGCAACAAAATCAAATTTATAAAAGAAAACTGTTCGTTAGACATTCCTTCCTGGAGTCCATGTCCTCTAGAAACTTCCTACCTAGACCACTGGCCAAACAACACTCTTAACAATCAGTTGAGTCCTTACCTTAAATTAGTCTGGTCACCATTGTTGGATGACATAAATGTCAAAACAGAAAAATAAGAGATTTTTAAACTATTTACAAGTTCAAATCCAGGAACTGTAAGACATGGTTAAGTTGTAAAGAGTTCTATTCCTCAAATATCTGTATACACATAGATTTTTAAAAATATTTGTTAAGTATTTACGAAATGTCTCTCAAAAACATTCCAGTGACCCTTTCCACTTTCTCTATTTTGTGCATCCTGAAGTCACTCAAGTCCACTGCCATCCCAACCAAGGCAGCCACTGAGCCCGCCCACACGTCGTTAACTCACTAGTGACTTCTCTGCCACCTGATCTCTTTTCTTCTTTCACACATTCAAAATAGCTGACTACCATCCTCTCTCCTGTAAATGTTCTCTTCTGTTGGTGCTACAACACATCTGGTGTCCTCCTCACTGGAGGATGCTTCAGAAGGTCATTTGTTCCTCCTGCATGCTGAGCTATTCCAAGCTCCAGGCCTCAAGACCTCAGGCCCCCTGCTCTCATATACCGTCTCTCTCTAGATGATCCTACGTAGTCTCATGGCTTCAGATATTACTGTATGCTTCAGCGCTGGTCTCTCCAGAATTCCAAACTCACTTATCCAACTGCCTACATAAAACCTCCATTTGTATAGTCAAAGTGTATCTTAAATTTAACACTGCCAAAACAGAAATCTTGATTGCCACCACTCCCCCATCCATCCTGTGCCTTTCTCAGTCATCCCCATTTTAGCACGTAGCATGTTAACACCCACACAATTGCACTGACAAAAATCTTAAGAGTCCCCTGATTCCTACATTCTAGTTCTATTGCTCTTACCTCCAAAATAAAAACTCTGAATTTATCTATTATCTTTCTTCATCACCACTCTAAAGCTCAACCATCTATCATCTCTATGCGAATAAATCCGCTGCCTGGCTTCCCCCACGGCTCTTGTACCCAAAATTCACTCTCCACACAGAACAATCTATCTTCACAAATGTGAATTAAGGAGGGGCAGTGGTGGCACACACCTTTAATCCCAGCACTCAGGAGGCAGAGGCAGGTGGATCTCTGTGAGTTTGCGGCCAGCCTGGTCTCCAGAGCGAGTGCCAGGATAGGCTGCAAAGCTACAGAAAAACCCTGTCTCGAACACAAACAATACAAATTAAACCCTGTCTTCTCCCTGGCTAAACCTCTCCAATAACCTGGCATTCCAATCTCAACTGTATATGCCCTATGTGCATCTGAATCTTGGTTGCCTTGTTAGACTCTTTCCCCACCATTGCCCTCTACCACCCACAAGATTCCAGTCATCTTGCCATCTTAATATTCCTGCCTAGACTAAGGGAAGTGACAGCTTCCCTTACATGTGGCCTCAACCTCATCCTCCAATCAGTCATCACAGAACATTTATATTTGCTCTCTCCCTGACTCTTCTCTGTATTCTTCTGGAGCTTCATTTGTTTCTCCATTGTATTCATAGTGCTTTCAATAGTGCCCACAAAAAAATATATTTCTCATTAGTATAAGAATACATGTATAATCAAAGTGAGGAATGAAAAGAAGGGAAAATATATACCAGAATAGTAAAAAGCCAATGCTTTTCACAGGTGTTTACAGTTCCAGGCTAGAACACCAGTTCAAACACTCTTGCCTCATCACGTACTGGCATCTCTGACTAATTCCACTTCAAACTCTACCTATGCATCTACTGAATACAATTTTAACAGGAAACAGAGGTCTGGCTTTTCTTTTCCACAAGCACTCCTGTTCTGCCATAGGCTCCATCAATACTCTTCTCTTCATAGACTTTTCTTCCTCAGACCCCACTAGACAAGATTGTCTATTATCCTTTAAGTTTCTGTCTGCGCTCTGACTCCTAGTAGAAACTTCCCAACAACCACAATAGCTATTCTCCTGATAATCCCACAGCACTGTAAACTATCTGATCTCCTAGCACTTATACTTAGTCTGTGTTGTATGTGAGTGTTGACTTTAGTCTCCTACAAGCCGGTGAAATCTTATGGGGCCAGGAACTCTCTTATTCATCACTGGGTTCTTAGCACTTAACATAGTATCTGGTACACAGCAATCAAAAAATTTTTGATACATAAGCAGAAAGGAAAAGGAAGAAAAGAGTAACTAACACATGTGTCACCTGGGTACAACTAGAGTCTTAACTGAGAAAAGTAAAACTTTTTCTTTGAAAGTGAGACAAAACTTTTGGATTTTATTTTGGTACTAGGGGTTGAACCCAGGGCCTGGCATTCTCTACCACTAGCTACATTCCTAGCCCAAATAAAATTACTGTAACAGTTTAAAGTCACATCTACAGAAAATTGTTCAGGCCTTAGTAGACACTAACCTAACCCACTGTGCACATAACTGAATGTTGACTTCAACACTTACCAATCTCCAGACTTGAAATGTAGACTGAGTCAACAGCATTTGCACTGGAGTATGAATACCGTCATCTTACATCTTTCCCAGATGGCTATTTACAAGCAGAATCACCCGAAGCTAACTACAGCATGAGGACTATGTAATAACAACACAGAGTCTTTGCCTCCTCATCTAACTTACTAGCCAAATCAACAGATTAGCAGTCAATACCACACACATGAATCTCTCCCACAGAATAATTTGAGGCTTAAGTTAAAATGAAATTAATCAACTCATGTTATCATCAACACCAGGCAATGGATGACACTCCTAACCAGGAAGATCTTACCTCTGTTATCATTTTACAGCTTTTACAGGGTCCGATCTGACTGAATAACTGGAGTATAAGGACTTCTGTCACATCTCTGGAAAGGTTACCTACATATCTGCATGAGAGAGAGACACAGAGAGAGAGAGAGAATGAACATTATCAGTAATGTTTCTTTAGTTATAGCTCTAATTGTTAATATTTAATTCATCTTTTATTTCAAGTTCCTGTCTATGATTAATTTTTCCAGGTAAGTCTATGATAGCTGTATTTTCAATTTCAGAATAATATGTAACATAAGTATGACAAATATTGATTTACTGAAACATCTTGATGATGAACTAATAGTAGAGTAGTTAAGTGCTATCTTAACACTGCCAAGCAAAACAATTACATGAACAAAGAAGAGTGCAAGAGTCAAGTTGTTCTAGCAAAGCAGAGGGTAGGTAGGGTGGAGGAGCTGGGGTCTGCACTAAAGAAGACTGTTAGTGATGACACAATCTTCATTGCTTAAGAACAATGGAAGTGAATAATTTAAACTTCCTATCAGCATCAACAAAACAATCTTTAGATAACAAAAGAAATTTAAGAAGAGTTCTTTAGAAATTCAGAGAAAAATTAAGACAGAGCGAAATATACTTCTGACTGGATATTTAAAGGTTTTGAGTTTTTCCCCCTAATTAGCAGTTGATTAAAAATTTTAATGAGAAAAAAAGAAAAATTACCACCTAACTCCCCAGAGATGACCAACTTGGTTTATGTCTTAATACAGAATGACTTGTGTCTTACGTTATAGTTTTATCTTCTCTGAATAAATTGCCAAAGTCTTTCTGGTTCTCAACAAATAACACCTTAAATGTACATTTGTCATGAACCACTTCATAAACCAAAACATTACTTATATAAAATGTGACATAATTTCTTCTGGGAAGTAAAAGGACACCATCTTACTTTCTGGCCACAATATAACATCAAGAAACAGTGCTGAGACCAAAATAAGGCTTGCAACAGTTGCCACGTTAAATACATACAAAGCTTTCAAATGAAACATGCTAAAAGAAAAAAGGGCTGAGAAAGCTAAGGTTAAATAAAACCTAAAATGATTGGTTAAGAATGGGTAGGAACTGGGGCTGGAGAGGTGGCCCAGTCATTGAGCATGCTTGCTGTTCTTGTAGAAGACAGAGTTCAGTTCCCAGCACCCAGGTGGGGCAGCTCACAACTGCCTGTAACCCCAGTTCCAGGGGATCCAACGACCTCTTCTGGCCTCCTCTGGCACCTGTGTACCCACATGTATACACATATAATGCACACAGGGACACACACACAAAATTAAAAGTGAAACAGGAAAATAATGAGTAGCAACTTGACAGCTTAGTTAAGAACTTCACAGCAGTGGTTACCAATAACCTCAGGGTACATGTTCTAAGGCTGAAATACAAGTCCAGTGCTATTAAAATAAAAGAATAAGCTAGTTGACAAACTGGTTTAGATCTAATATGCTATCTTTTCCTTATAATTAAATAGAGCTGACCCACTGTAGGACATACAGTGATTTTTTTTTTCCAGCAGAAGCAAATGGTTAAAGGATTATGAATTAGCCATAAATGTTTGTCCCTTTTCACTCACAAGGACTTTATGAACCTGTAACCATTGACTAACTTCCTTTTGTAAAAGAGACACAGTATAAAGAAAATGAGCAAGTGATCTTGATTTTCTAAATACTATGTTCATCTGACCAGTCTAATCTGCAGAGGGCAAGGGGTTGCAGTGATATAAAAACAAAACAAACAAAAACAAAACAAAACAAAAGCTAGCTGGTGACAAAAACAAACACTAGACTATCATTTTACTATAGCAAAATTTTGATGACTTTAAGTTGTAAGTTGTGTTGATGTTTAAAAAGATTCATTAAAGGAAAAAAATGCATGTTTCCACAGCTAAATCACAATAAAAGCTGTTTTTGTTTAACAAGACTTTGATTCTAAGTCAACCCATTTCCAATCAGTCAGGGAACTCCCAGATTCCAGAGGAACATTGATGTATATAATTAATTTCTGTATCTAGCATTGTCAAAGATTAAAAACTGTTAACATTCAAGTTTAGAATACCGTGAAATATTTACAGAAAAGTCCAGTGCTAAAGTGTCCTATTTTTCAAATACTTTCAAGAGCTAACTGCTAAAGCAGCAGACTAAATTTTAAACACATACAAAGCCTTCTATAACACAGAGAACATCTTACTTAGTTTGTCAAGATGAAAAGGGCACAATTCAGTATATAATTTCACTTACATTTATCTAAATTTTAGACTGACTTTTCTACTCAAGGTTCTGTAATTTATGTATCTAACAGAGGCACAATTTATATTTTCAAAAATACTGTTGTATACTGTGCCTTTTACATTATCAAAAAATAATCCATCCCAGAAACAAAGGTATTTAAGACAAAATTCAATATTAAACTTAGTCATCATCATCTTTCGTAGCTTATTGACTTTGATAGCTGTTTCTTTCAAAAGATATTGTTTCTATACGTCATCATCTTCTGCAGCTAAGTAGTACTAAGTATATTCTAAAGTTTCAAGTTTTTAAATATGCAATTCTTACCTAAGGAACATATACAAAACAACAGAAGACAAATGTCTTGAGTTCTTATGGTAACAGAAAACACTTAGGAAATTCCAAAATGATTTTAACTCAAGGAAAAAATAAGGAAAATGCATACCTTACAGTCTATTTTGTCTTCTAAGAACAGGAACTGTAGGAACTGAAGCATTAATAACTGAAAATGATACCTTTATTCCTAACATTGGGCCTAAGATCCAAATGGACGATAGAAATCTTGGCAGTTCACAGCAGGCAGAAGTTCACATTGCCAGTGAACTACTTCCTATGTCCAACTGGGCAGAAATTAAGAATATCGTGCCTTGTAGAAAGCTAATGACAGCTTTTCCATTGAATGTGCCCTCACTCTGAAAAGTAGCACTTCCAAGGCCAAAATTACCAGCACTTTTATACAAAAATACTGTAGTGCTAAATTTCCATAAAGGCAGTTGTAGTTTTATTATTCTTAATAAGTTCCTATCAAAAGGAGAGTTTCAACAATAACCCTCAACAGCCCTCTAAAGGACTGTCTAAGCTGTCACTTGATTTTAGGAAGGAGGCAAAGTTGAAGAAAGGCACCATAGTGTAGGGTAACTAACTTGACCAAGGACCTGACTAAAGGATGGAGCCATACAAGCTTTAAAGAAACAAAGATGACTAATTGAAACAGCTTGATTATAGCTAAAATATAGCTAAATCAATGGTGCAGCCAAGTCCATGAGATCTTACATTGTTTTCTTCTGCTTTGTTCACTGATGTTCAGAGTACCCTCTAAATCAATGGCTTATTTCCTCCTTTTTATTGAGTATCAAGGAAGAATAAATAGCCTTAAAGGGTGGCATTGAACAGTATGGTTTTATCCTAGAGCAACAATTTCTAGGGTTTTGGTACACCAAATAGATGAATAAAGTAAACTAAAATTCACTGCCAATATAATTTAGCGTCACACTGTGGGTTCAGATACCACAGATCAAATCACTGCACTGCAAAGACACAACCCAAGGCTGAAACATGTCCTACAAGGTTGGTCTATTTCAAACACCAGTATCACATATTGTAACCTCATTGATTTGTTTTTAAGATCACTAATATATAATACCCCAAAATAAATGTCAAATAAAAATGAGGAACATCAGAAAACAGACCTTTACAGCAACTATATGGCAAATAGGATTTCAGACTCAACATCAAGGCAATTCTAACTTTAAATACCATCAAATAAATTAGTAATACTGTAGATAATGAATATTTAAAGACCTACCTAGGCTATAAACACCATATTGTTTTCTGAAGATAGAACCATATGTCTTAGCTTGTGTGTGTCTGCAGGAAGAAAACCTTACTAGTAACACACAGGCATTTTAAAGTAAACAGGTTAAGATCAACTTTATTTAGAGCACATAGTTTTAAAACATAGTAGCCACTTGAGAAACCTAATCCATAGATCACAATGCAAAATATAGGCTCTTCATAAACAAAATCAAACCCTATTTAACATTTGCTTTGATGTCAAGACTTTACATTAGACACACACACACACACACACACACACACACACACACACACACATACCACACCACACACAAATCAACAAACTTTAGGAAGTATGACAATGTCTACCTATAATTTAAGGCTGTCAGAACTTTAAAAAACAATCTTAATTCTAATTTAACCAAAGAAGTACAACTTTAAAATATTTAATGAGTACCTCTTAAGTTCCAAGGAGTGAACTAAGTGCTGGAAGGGTTAAGACCTAGGAAGCAGTACAGTCCTTGTATTTAAAAACAAAACAAAAACCACAACTTCCCATGGAGAAAAGACATAATAAACACATACTGACACACAGGGACAACAGAGCTTAACACGTTTATTCACTCATATGTATATATCACAGTTTTATAAAACCAAACACAGACAACTAAAGTGGGTTTTAGGGAGGGGAAAGAGATATGAGATGGTAAATGTATGAAATAATAAGATTTAGCTCTGGTCTAGAGGAGACCTGATAGTGGATGCAATTACAATTAACAGGAAAAGAAACAGAAAGGGCATACAATGTAACAGACAAATGCAAGAAAACTCTAAGGAACAAATAGATGCAGTTAATGAGACATGAGAATTTACCAATTATCCAGTAACTATTATAATGCAGTGATGACATTTCAGGTACTTTAGATACAATGTAACTGCCATCTTCCTTGAATATGCGCTTACTAGGCCTTAAGTCTAGCTTTCCCAGATGCTTCTAAGTACACACTGCTAACTATTAAATACCAAGCCTTGGTTTAAACAAACAAACAAACAAACAGAACAAATTTCAAGTTTTGTCTTAATTATCTTTTTTTCTGGGAAAACAGAAATGGAAACACACACACAAATTTTCCTACCAAATTTTTCATTGTGGGGTATATGTTTAGTATGTTTTCAAATTTCCCAAACAAAGTGTTAAAGAAATAAGAATGGAAATTATAAACAATGCTTAAAAAAAAAGGTATCAACATTGAACATTGATATGGACCTTCTTTACTGAACATATTTTCTGTGGTAAGAATGACGCTCTGGGACGTTAATCAGAGGTCCTGAGTGTCCACCCATCGTCATCCATTCCTCCAAACGTACTTTCCCCATTAGCTAACCCAGCCAAGCGGACTCTGATCATCGTATCAATCAATACCAGACAGAGCGAGGCAAGACAGACAATGCAGCAGGCTGACTCTGCGCACTTACTCCAGGCAGGAGTAGTAGGCCTGGAGAGGCTGGGAAAACCCAAGGTGATCACTTTAAACAATGAACTGGAAATTACTCAGACGAAGGGGGAAAAAGAGTGCCACACTATTTAGAAAGGAATACAGACGCTGACTCATCACTCTGCATTGGGAAAGAAGGACACGCCAATTAAGTGGCTGTAAGATGCAATTCATTCATTAGATTGGGCATCAGGTGAAACCCAACAGCTAGACCGCGGAAAAAAAAAAAAAAAAAAAAAAAAAAAAAAACACCCAAAAAACACACACACGCATCAAATAGCGGGAGAAGACATGCTTTTATCGAACTCTGATGGTCCCGACGCACAAACCGACTAGGAAGCCGCATCACAAACTGAGCGAAAGGAATTTAACTGGTTGTCAGTTTGGCGTAGTGAGCGCTCAAAGTAAACTTCGTTATCCAAGGGACCGAGGTGGTGCACGGCGGCAAAAGGCAACCTCTCTGGCACTTCAAAAGCAGCGGGCGCTGGGCGGGTGTTTCTGACAGTGTGGGGCACGTGGGGCAGAGAGAGACAAGGGGCTCCTCTGGTTAAAAGAGTTGCAGGCTCGGGGAAAGGACCCGGAGCGACTGAGGCTGAGGACGTGGACTGCTGAGGACGTGGACTGAGTCTCGGTGCTAATGCCAGAGGATGCAGCAGAGGTCCCACCCCCGCCAAGCCCTGCCCCCGTGGGCACCCACAGCTCCCGGCTCAGCCCGGAGCCCCCAAAGCACGGGGGACGCCGGAGCTCTCCCGAGCCTGACAGCCTCAGCCGTGCACAAGCCCAGTCTAGGAAGGGTGTGCAAAGAAGGGGTCGGGAGGAAAAGGTCGAGACTAGTCCTAGACCCTAGGAAGTAACTGTGTTCGGGGGGAAGGGAGGGCTTCCTTCTCTAGGAAAGGGGGACAGAGAGGGAATG